CTCATTCTTTTAACATGTTTTTTATATTAGTATACCTTAGTAGAAACAATATATACAACGGCGCTGACTAGCAATATAGAGGCATGCATGTACTGCGGTTATTGCGTTGGAAGAATACCACGGCGCTTGCCACTACTGCCGTCGACATTAACGTATATACGACGTTGTAAGATAAAATATAGGATGAGTAGGTGTCATGTTAAAAGCTTTTCAATTTAATTTTCTCATAACCATTAACCATACATACCTTTAATCCTTTCATCGAGTTAACTAGGTTTTCACATACCTGTAACAAAAATACAATTATTTAGATACACCATCTAAACATAGTTTTTAAACAACACGTAAAATTGCACATTACTCCTCCAAAACTTGAATACGATCTTAAGAACAGATTTTTGTAATTTCAAGAGTAACATTCAATGTAACAAAAGTATTTGCAGAATATCGTTTACGGAAAACCCCATTTCCTATGCTGGGATAAAGTTTGGAAATACGATTTTCAAAACAATTCTTGTTTGAAAATTATTCCACCAAAACAGGCGTAACTCTATGTTTCTGTAACTATAAATCACTGCATTCTCAAACTAACTTTCCAGTGAAAGGAACTTTATTAAAGGGTTCCTATTGAATACAACATTTGAATCAAAATCACAAGTATCACTACGTAAATCGTCCTTCCTATTTTTGCGAGGACTTTACTCTGCAACTTTTAACGATGGATGCAAAAGTTGTACCATTAAAGTACAATGGAAAAACTTACTTATTGCAAGGAGTTAAAATCTGTTGCAAACATCTAGCCTTGTAATTTAGCCTAAGCAATTTGCACTCGTAATAAAACGTGTATTTATTTATTCGACCTTTATTGCAAAACTAATGAAATCTATAACGATGCAATTAGCTAGTAGCTTTTATATGTTTTTTGTTTTACTAACAAATAGTTAAAAATAATGTTCCACCTCTAATGGAATATGGTTTTAATTGTTTAAATGTAGTCTAGGTTTTTTATATGTAACTAGAAAATGAACATTTGTCCTTCTGATTTTTTATCTTTAGTAAATTATCTTACCACAGTCAATGTTTTAATCGATAAGATAAACTAAATATGGAATCAAACAACTCATCACAAACCTCTTTATTATTTTATCGAAGCAATGATTATTGACATGGTTCTCTATCGAGAACTAATCTTATTTCAGGAATACAAATCAAACCGCCCAACAGTAACAGTATTCCAGCCGTGATATTGTATTAGCCAATTGATTAATGACATTTTACCCTCAGCTGTGGAAAATATAAGACGACCTCTCAACAATGAGCTTACAATCTTTGTTATTTATCTATATAAGTATAAAAGAGGATGTTTGTATATATATTTGTTTGTTTGGCAGTGATAAACTCATACACTGCTGAACCGATTGTCACAAAACTTGGTACATACATGTAGAATATCATGGAATAGGTTTATACACCATCAATTTCGTGATCCGTCCAATCGGCTCCGCCCCAGTGGCTCTGGAGTTTCCCATGTTAACCTTATGAGAAATGGAATTAATGAATCTTAACAGCTGTTTCAATTAAACAAGTTGGTTCTGTTCTATCATGTTAAATAGCATTAAAGTTACAAGGATTACCAACAGGGTGCAGCACTATTATTTCTTTTACATTTATGACAACATCTAATTTGCAACCAAAAGGTGAGTGAGCGTAGCGAACGAACTTCAACCTGGAGGCGAGTTAGCGTAGCGAACGAGCTAACCTGAAGGCAAGTGAGCGTAGCGAACGAGCTCCAACCTAAAGGTGAGTGAGCGTAGCGAACGAACTTCAACCAGGACGTGATTGAGCCATGCGAACGAGATCATCTTGAAAATTAAGAAGTTAAACGGGACAAAGCCCGCGGGATTATAAATAGTCAAAGGCAAGACAACGTCTGCCGGGTTCAGCTAGTCATATCTAATTCATTTTTTGTTAGTTCTTATATTTCAATAATTATTGAATATTACATAATAGTAGAGTTTAAATATATTATTAAAAAAATAATCATTTTGGTTTCATACGAAGGTAAAATAACAACAAAATGATGGTCAAAATCCCTCAAAAGTATAAAAATAATCATAATTCAGTTGTTCATGGTTAAGTGCACGTCAGAAATTTATAATCGAAAGGAACAGCTTAACTCAGTTGAGTACTGATTGAAGCTACACTTTAATAGGTGTAGCAGTACTTTTTTAAGTACAGTAATTCTGAAAAGTCATCAAAATGAAAAGCCACTTAATTCACAAGCTTAAGCCTAAAACATTTTTTTTACTTATCACAACAAGTTGCTGAGATTGTTATAACTTTAATGTATACAAATTAATATTGTTTACAACTATTTAATAAAGACTAATACGTTTAATAAAGACTAATACGATGTTTTTCTTGGCTGTAATAGGTAGCCATAAAAGAATCGTTAATAGATACAGGGGGCCTTGTCTATTATCAGTGCCTAAATAAGATCTAAGTTCAGTTTAAAGCTTCGCCGTTTAAACCGCAGTAATAAACAGAACTAGGAGTACGTTTACCTCTAAAATAAATATATTGACCTTAAAACGACAGATCTTGTGAAAATCAAAGCAATAGCCTCATGCTTTGAAAACAGGCTCAGTATGGGATGGTAACTGGTGAGTTATGCCTCGTACAAGAAAATTGGGTGGGTACTACTTAGTTTTTACAAGGTCTCAAACACCCCCAACAACATTAAACCTATTGCAAGACATTACATCTCCAACAAAGATATTACTATTTGGATTAAAAATCTCCAACAGCGATCGGAGCTTTTGATTAAAAGTAAACACAATTAGTGCGAACAGAAGTAGAGGCTGCAACAGCTGAAAAAGCATTTCCGGTCGAGCTAGAGCGAGGAGGTTTTGAACAGTGGTTTTGTTGGATAATTAATATCTTGATTGAAACTCATTTGCACCATTTTGTGAAGGTTGTGTTGTTTTTGTTGTTTTACTCAAATTTCACCTTTGGGTTTTTCTATAGTAGCCTCTAACTTGAGCTGTTTTATTTTAAACACTTTGTTTTTAACTAATATACGACAAACTTACTATTTAAACTAGTGTAATTACAAAGAAACTATACACTAAACATTATTGTAAATTATAGTGTAAATATATTTTTTTTTTCAAAAACCCTTGTAAAACCATCTCTTCTTTTATCTACAGTACTACCATAATACCACCTAGTAATGGTGGTATAGTTACTTCCATTAACCATAATTATTTCATAGCTTTTGAGAAAAATACTACTCCTTTCTAACACGGGTGTAGGTTAAGCTTATATCGAAAATGTAAGATAATCAATTACACATCTGCATGGCAGATTCTAAAAAATACTACATTACACCAAATATTTTTTATATACACGTCACTAAGACAGTGGCGTTCTTATTGTTCGTTTTTAATACAGTACAGTAGTATACTTCGTGTTCGTTACTTAGTAAAAAAAAACTGTTGATAGCTCACACAGACTGGTCCTCAATGCAGGATTACAGACAGTTCAGTTCACAAAGCCCTGCTGTCATTTCACACAATACGGTAACTACTCTAGTTACACAACCTTTATTGTGTGAGTCCAGTATTATTCTGGTTTTTATTTGTTTCGTGTTTCCACTTTATTTGTCTAGTCACCATGTTACAGTTGTTTGTCCTAATCACGGATATACTGTGACTATGAATGAGTTTGTGAGCATTATACATTTTGGGGTTGGTTTTAAAAAGTGTAGAAAATACGCCTATGATTTTTTTTAAATGGATATAATCGTTTTATGGCTTGGCTAAGATCAAGATTTTTTAATCGATTGAACTAAAGTTATGTTATTTCGAAATATTATGAACTTCTAAAGCCCAGACACCCCAGATATTGTTAACCTTACCCATTTAAATGACAATATTGTAACATTTAGTACATTTCTAGTGTTTAGCTTTTACCGACGAACAAGTTGAAATCTGTTCTTTACAACTATACTTTACAACTATGAATTGCCATAGCAATCTTATTGTAATACATATATATTTTGAGGTTTTGCTACTGAATTTTCAACTGTTTAAATTAAATAAATAACAAATAGGCCTAGTAATAGCTATTTACGTTACAAGTGTAGGAAGAGCGTTTTTACCTCACGCAGGTGAATGGTGTGCAAGGAGCGGAAGCGAGTTGCACACCATTCGTGATGAAAACACGCTTTTGCGTAACGTGTAACGTACGAGATTTTACCTGACCCAACAATATACAGGGGGTTACGTACAATATTTTTCATTATCCATTTCACTCAACTTCTAACAGTAACGTTCTTTTTCAAACAAAAGCTAGGTTAAGAAAATACTTTAAAGCATAACAGTAACATTCAAGTGCACAGCTGATTTCTAGCGTAGAACGTCGTTGGCTCCATAGAGGCTTAATATTTTCTTAAGTTGAGCACTCAATGTTATTTGAATGGGTTTCATTGCTTCACCGAGTGAAGTAAAGAAGTTATTTACATCACGCTTGGGATGGGGAAGTTTAACATGGCGGGTTGGGTAAATTATTACAACAATTATTGATGTAAAACTATTAAGCTTATAGTGTGGTGAAAATTAAGTTAACATTCAGTTGTTCGCTTTTACTGAGCGGTTACATGCACGTTGGGAATGTATAATCAAAAAGAACAGCTTAACTTAATTGAGTACTGACGGATGTTACACTTCAATAGTTAACATTGAATCAAAATATCAACATCTGTGAAAACTTTTGGAAGTGTTCGAAGGAGTTGTTTTAATGTGGCCACTGTAGGTGGCAATATTTAATGTGTAACGCCTAATGAAATATCTACATAGACTTATATTGCATCATTCTCATAATTTGCATCTTACTCATTTAAACACACACCTAAAAAAAATTACATTTAGTGATATGACCCAACAACCTTTAAAAGACAATTCTCTATACCATCTCTCTCCAAGCCCCTAGCCACTTGCCTTTTCCACATATCCATGGCCCCGATGGGGTCGCCGGGTGTTGATGGGGATGGAAAGGTCGTCCTCCGAAGGGTCGAACCATCCCAGAGCGCTTCCAATGACAAGGGTGAGGATGAGACCAAAGGCGGTCACCACAAGGGCAGTCACAACCTTCGACCTAGCGGAGATCACTATGGCCATTCTGGGGACTTTAACGGTGGAGTGGGTGAGTTCTCCCGTAGTTGGGGTTGACACAAACGTTCTAGGTTTGAATTTAAACCTTCAGTTTTCGTACCTCACATCACTTTTAATTATCTCAAAATATAGACCTACTGCGGAAGGGTTTGTGTGAAATCTTGTTTTGTGTAAAACACTGGGACATTATTGCAATCTTTAACTTTTTGATATTTCTAAGTTCGACGATGGAAACTTTTTTTCCTATTACAGTTAGTTTATTAGAAGAATATTTAGCGGTACATGAAAGTTTATATGAGAGAAATTACACCATTACACTAGTTAAGACATTAAATATGGCCTAAATTCTCTAAAGGTATTGAAAACAACTGATTCAAGTATTGTATAGTAAAGTTAACGCCTACGTTTAAGTTAACTTACTTAAACTCAAACACACTATGAGCAAATTTATTTTTTTAGAAATCAAGAAATTATTAAAAAAAAGTGCTTTAATAATTTTAAAATATCTCAAATAATGTTCATCAGTAAATTGATTAGGAATAAATGTCATGTTCCATTCTGTAATGTACTTTTAAACACTATGACTTGTTTACCAAACAATATATTTTAACTTTCACTTAAAACACTTGACTAAGTAAGACAATGAAACTACAAGTTCTGTAACGGATATTTAGTGGATGAAGTGAACTGTTTACTAACTCTCATTAGCTGGAACAAACTTTAAAACTCATTACTTTGCATTATGAAATATACTGAGTGTTTTTAACTTTTGCTCGACTTTACGAATAAATTGTTAAACACGTACTTCGTATTACACTAATACCATTAAACTTCAAGAAGTACATTTTTATAAATAGTTTTGACAGTAAATATAGTTTAACTTTTTAAGTTTACTTAGTGAATAAGTTAGTTATCACTACTTAACGTAGTCGAATTGTAAATATTCCCCCTATTATTATTTTCAATAAAACCTAATGCATTTTCGTATTATTTTCAATTAATGGACAATTACTTGAATTTTACTGCACTATAGTGTGTCCTAATGTTAAACAATTATTCACTTCTTATAGTAAGGTCTAGTAGGTATAGATGACACATTAAAATGATAAACAAAGATTGAAGTAAATCTATAATACTCCAATCTGTAATTAATCATACAAATGGTTACTCTACATTCCATCTATAGATTAAACATATAACCGTTCACCCATTCTAAAAACTAACCACAACAATTTATTAACACGTGGCCACACTTCACAACTAAATCTCTAGTTGTTTACAAAACCCGTGACGTCACTCTGCACACAACACGTTCACAAGTACCACATCGTTGTACACGCCCGACGTGATACGTACGTACGTAACGTACGTGTCTCGACGTCGCCCGGACGTCAACTGGCGCCGAGACGGCGGCATACAGACAGGGGCGACGCGACGCCGACGCCACATCCATTCATACCTCCACCACCGCCACCCAACCCACCCCAACGTTACGATTTATACCTCGACTTCCCGCGTTCAGTTTTTACAAGTGCGCTCAGCAGAGCAAAATGAATTGGGTAATCCTTTACCGATATACTGACGTGGCGTTTTGAAATGGATGTATTGTTTCATCTTTTATTTTTATATCGATTGAATGGGTCTGAATTTATAGAAGAGCATGTTTTCCTTCAGCAAATTAATCATGTAAAGAGGTTGTGATAATTTGCAATAAATTTCAACAGCGGTAGTTTTGAATGTATTAATGAATTCTTAATAGTGATGCAATCATTACAATTTTTGGGGGCTCATATGCGTATTTGATTTAGTTGACATAATCACTGTTTAGTTTCAATTTAATTTATTTATTCAGAAAAAGAAACATTACATGTAATTTTTTACATCAAACACTCTGAAGTTAGGCCCCTGCGAAGCAAAGCTTGAGTGCAGGGACCGAGTCGCAAACATCAAATGAAAATACTACACAATAACAAATACATAGATATATCAATAACATTAAATTGTGACATAAATATTATTGCTATTAACTATATCCTAAGACATTTATTAAATTTTCTATTCTCAATGCTCTACATGCTCTAGTTCGGAATAGTTTTTCACATTACTTTAGGCTTTATTTGTTTATTTACGGTATATTAATTTTACAATAATTTAAATATGCATTCATTTGCATTCACAGGCTTGGCCTAGAGGATCGCGGAAACATCACTTAGGAATATTCTTTTGGTGATTTACGGCATTTGAACCCAGGACCTCACAGACCGAAGTCTAAACCAGCTCACTGCCTTATGCCTTAGCTCTAATGAGTAGTAAATTACCAATCCTATTTATTGAAAATTATGAAATCTCAGGAATTTTAATATGTAAAGGAATGTATAATACAGTGTGGTAGAAAAGTCCCGGAATGGTTAAATATTTTTAAATATAATGCAAATAGAGCTAAAATACTTGGTACAAAGTTACAGGGCATAAAACTCTATTTTAACACATATTCAGTGATTAAATAACTCTTCAGGGGGACGTCCCACAAGGAGTCAGAAGAAAATCTTAAATGGAAGCATAGGTCAATATGCACATCAAATTAAAGGTATTTTTTTTAGAATATAATGCCGCAAACCGCACTTCAAAAGGTTGATCTTGCGCAAAATGACAGTTGATCAAAGATTCATTTAATTTACATTGCTATTATACGCTTTCTCCTCAGGGGGCACAGCCCTAGGAATCGGAAGAAAATTGTTAACGTAAGAATAGGTCGATATGCACATCAAATTGAAGGTCTTCACTTTTAGATTACGATGCCTTAAATTCAAGCTCAATAGAATGCCTGAGTAAAAAATGGCAGTCGTTCAAAGATTCAAAATGGCGGATTCAAGAAATCTTTGAAGATCTGCCATTTTGCGCAGGATCAACCCTTTGAAGTGCGGTTTGCGGCATTGTATTTTACAAAAAAAGACCTTTAATTTGATGTGCATATTGACCTATGCTTCCATTTAAGATTTTCTTCAGACTCCTTGGGGGCCGTCCCCCTGATGAATTATTGCTAAATATGTGTTAAAATATTTAACAGTTTTATGCTCTGTAACTTTGTACAAAGTATTTTAGCTCTATCTGCATTATTTTTTTTAAATATTTTACCGTTCCGGGACTTTTCTACCACACTGTATAATAGAATGGCAAGGTAATGTAAATAATAGGAAAAGATATTCAAACCCATATACAAAAGGACAATATAGCACGTCAAAAAGAATTAGGAGATGAAACTTCATTGAAGACATTTGTAAAATGAAATTTGACATTTTATTTTAAATTTCAGGACTTTATACAATTTTATTCCACGTAAAATGGTTTTACAACTAAACAAAATTGTTTTAATACTCTAAAATATATTTTTTCTAATGGTTATAAATCAAAGGAAAGGCCTGGAAGTATATACAAAAAAGTGTTTGTAAATGGGTTCTTAATATACATATTATAGATGTATACATATTTTGGTTAATCAGACTTTTAGATGGAATAAAAATTAAATGAAGCCACAACGATCGTGAAGCTTAAAAACGGTAATTTCTTAGATACAAAAATGTTTACGATGTTTAATGAAATTATGAGATTTTAAGATATCAACAAGAACAAGGTTAATTAAAGGATAAAACATTATCCCGCCATGAATCAAACACACAGGAAATATGTAATAATACACAACAAATCAATAGTTTACGTGTTTAAAATAGTACGCTCGCCGAAACTGCGAAACTAAATATAATTGGAAAAGAAAATTTAATTTGTTGAAGTAAGCTATGGTTTATTATTCAACATAAATCTATAAAAAATTGAAGTTTCACTAAGAAACTCCAAAATGAAACTTACCATGAACAACATACTAAATAATTAAATTATCTAATTAGATTCATTCAAATTACATTAGTAGGAGAGGTTCTTGAAAGTTACTGTTCATAACATTAGTGTTATGGAGACAAGAGATTTGTTAATGTATTATAGAGTCGTGTATCCTATGCTCCTGAGTATAATAACAACGATCAGAACGTTGTAGTTGATCAATCTACCGGTTACATAGCTTAACGACTGAAGTAATGATGTTGACATTGATCTTTGCCACACAGTCAGTATGTGACAGTTTGAATATTGATACAATGCTTGTATGGTTTGTTATCTTAATCATGAAACTTGATTTATAAATGATTTGCATTTACATAATTTATAAAACATATTATTTTCACTATTGTTCCCATAATCCTTCAGGCAAACATATTAAAAGGGGAAATAATTGGCGATTCCTAACAAGATTTCTTCTTGGTTTTGGTTCAGTGATATTTATTCAGTCACGTATTCACTCAAAATATCTTAAAAAAGTTTGAGTAAACCATAAAAAGTTTCCCTTCAACCATGTTCTGATTGTTTGTAATCCACAAGGATTTAAGTAACAATGTGTTTGTACATTCTCTCTTTTCGGTCCACAATACGTTTTATTTCCAGAATCTCGAAGTTTACAGGATTGCGTTTATAAACATTAATGTAACTAAAGCAGTTACCTTTTTCAAGTAGGTGCTCAAGATAAAAGGCGAGAGGTGAAGACACTTGAGAAATAAACCCAACATTTTCACGAGTGAGACGAGAATCGTAAAATCCATCGTTAAAAGAAACACTTGCTTTACATTTTTGCAGCCTTCTTAGTAGCTTCAATCCAATCCAATCTTCTTAAAACTTTTCAACAGATATAATGTGATCGAGTGCTTAGTTTCTTGTATTCTTTAAGAAAGAGGGAAATTTATCATTACTAAGGTAGAGAAAATCCCATTCGTAGAATCTTCAATGGAGTTATCTTTTAATCCATTGATAAAAACTTTCAATTGATAAATCTGTCACTGAGCGAAACAAAATTTCTCCAGTTTTTATAACACAATATATGATTTTTTTATTATTTATTTGAAATACAATATATATATATATATATATATATATATATATATTCCTTAATTTGATATATATGATATCATTTAAATCAGAAGGTACAAAACGATAAATAACAGTTTTTACATACGTCTGCTACAGAAGAATAGCTGATAAGTTATTTTTGTTTAAATAATTCCTTGATCAGCATTGTACGTGTTATTAAATTTACGGAAAGTAAATAAAAAAACATCTTACCCACCAC